AAATATAAACAATTCACCTCAATTTCTTGCAAGTTGGTGAAAGCATTCTTGAGTTATTGTCCAAAAACTGGAAAATCCCCCTTTTTTTAATGAATAAAACCCCATAACTCAGAAACGTAAAATTCAAAATTTATAAAAAACGAAAGGGAGCTCACGTCAATAGATATAAACAATTCACCAAAGTTTTATGCAAATTGGTGAAAGCGTTTTTGAGTTAATGTCCGACATGTTGACGACGGACGGACAGACGGACGGACGGACAGACGGACAACGGTATACCATAATACGTCCCGTAAACGGGCGTATAAAAACAGGAAGTGATGTAAATTTGTTTATGTTCAAAATACGAATTTCTTTAAATTTCAAGGTTATGAAACAAAACAATTTTACCAATTTAGTCAAAACTAAGCATATAGATATAGGAAGATGTGGTTTGAGTTTAAAACTGTTTAACATTTTATTTTTATTTTATGCCTACTTAAACAAGAATTCTGAGAGTATTGCATGGCAATACATAGTCCCCTACCGGGTAAAAATTCATTATACTGGAACAAAATGCTAACTTGTTATATAACTTGTCATGGTGTAAACAAAAAGAAAATATCAAGTCAATATCTTCAAGCATGACTAAAAACAGTGTGGAAAACTGAATATATGAGTGAATTTTTTCAAGTCCAAGGACCATAACTCTGCACAAAATTATCAGACCGAAACAAAAATTTGAGCTTGATCTGTAACTTGTCATGATAAAACTATTTACCACTTGTCAATCAATATCTTCAAGCATGATGAAAAAAAGTGTGGAAAACCTATAACACTCTAACATTAGATATGATGTAATACAATGTATATCTATTTTCAAATTACAATCAAATACAACTAGATATCATTGAGATGGGAGCCATCTCTGTGGGCCCCGCTGTGAATAATGTGTGGTAAAAAATTTGTATCTTTATCATTGGACATGGGGTTGTCAACTGAAACCGAAGTTTATGAACTTGACCTTTGACCTAGGAAGTTGTACATACATTATGACACACCCTCTGGTGTTGGTTTATATACATGTCAAGTATAAACTTTGAAATCATAACGGTTCTCAAGATATAGAGTGGACACTATCTTTACCATAGGACATGGGGTTGTCAACTAAAACCAAAGTTTTTGACCTTGACCTTTGACCTAGGAAGTTGTACATACATTATGTCACACCCTCTGGTGTTGGTTTATATACATGTAAAGTATAAACTTTGAAATCATAACGGTTCTCAAGATATAGAGCGGACACGATCTTTACCATAGGACATGGGGTTGTCAACTAAAACCAAAGTTTTTGACCTTGACCTTTGACCTAGGAAGTTGTACATACATTATGACACACCGTTGGTTAATATACATGTCAAGTATAAACTTTGAAATCATAACGGTTCTCTAGATATAGAGCGGACACAATTTGTTACCGACACAATTTGTTACGGACGGACAGACAAACGGAGGGACAGACTGATCACTATAGGGCGTCCGCCATTCGGCGGGGCCCTAATTAATAGTTCCAAATATTTTTTCTTTTATTTGTCACAAACTAATATAGATTTGTAACTTACCTATAAAATGTCAACAACTTTTATCTACACAATGTAATGTAATGAAATATATACCTTAATAAAAATAGATTATTATCTAATTAAAGGATTTCACTTAATAAAAAAAAATATATATATATATACATGTAGCATTCAGAAAATTAGTTTATACAAAATAACATATAAACCTGCCACAAAATTCCTCAAACAATTTACCAAAGAATGTTTTTTTAAAAATGAGTTATCTCCCTTTGTACAGATTATATGGTTTAACATAGTACTCTAACATTAGTTATGGAGTTTTTTTATGGACCATAACTCTAGACTAAATTATCAGACCGGAACAAAATTCGAACTTGATCTATAACTTGTCATGATAAAACTATATACCAACAAGAAATGATTGTAACAGGATGCTGTTACGAAGTCTCCCAAACGAAGCTCCCATAATTCGTAATTCCCAGTGTCGCCTGACATTGGACAAAGTTCAGTGAAAATTGGTTTGGTCCAGTAAAGTTATATGCATTAGTGATGCATGGGGACTAACCCTGTTTATCATTCAAATCATCTTGGCATGACAAACCAGAATATATATGGTTTAGAGGAGGGGATCTCGACCATTTAAAAGATACTAGAACATTGGGGTGGGGGGAACCCCTGGGGACTGACCCTATACATCATTCAAATGTTCGAGACACGACGAACATGAATATATATGGTTTAGGGGTGTGGATCTCGACCATTTACAAGATATTAGAACTTTCTCAAATGGCAGGGGGTGGGGGTGACCCCTGGGGACTAACCCTGTATTTCATTTGATGTGCTTTATCATGACAAACCAGAATATATATGGTTTAGGGGTGGGGATCTCGACCATTTACAAGATATTAGAACTTTCTCAAATGGCAGGGGGTCGGGATGACCCGTGGGGACTAACCCTGTATATCATTCAAACCATCTTCGCATGACAAACCAGAATATATATGGTTTAGGGGTGGGGATCTTGATCACTTACAAGATATTAGAACTTTCTTAAATGGCAGGGGGTGGGGGTGACCCCTGGGGACTAACCCTGTATATCATTCAAACCATCTTAGCATGACAAACCAGAATATATATGGTTTAGGGGTGGGGATCTCAACCATTTACAAGATATTAGAACTTTCTCAGATGGCAGGGGGTCGGGATGACCCCTGGGGACTAACCCTGTATATCATTCAAACCATCTTCGCATGACAAACCAGAATATATATGGTTTAGGGGTGGGGATCTTGACCACTTACAAGATATTAGAACTTTCTTAAATGGCAGGGGTGGGGGTGACCCCTGGGGACTAACCCTGTATTTCATTTGATTTGCTTTATCATGACAAACAAGAATATATATGGTTTAGGGGTGGGGATCTCGACCATTTACAAGATATTAGAACTTTTTCAAATGGCAGGGGGTCGGGATGACCCCTGGGGACTAACTTTGTATATCATTCAAACCATCTTAGCATGACAAACAAGAATATATATGGTTTAGGGGTGGGGATCTTGACGACTTACAAGATATTAGAACTTTCTTAAATGGCATAGGGTAGGGGTGACCCCTGGGGACTAACCCTGTATTTCATTTGATTTGCTTTATCATGACAAACAAGAATATATATGGTTTAGGGGTGGGGATCTCGACCATTTACAAGATATTAGAACTTTCTCAAATGGCAGGGGGTCGGGATGACCCCTGGGGACTAACTTTGTACATCATTCAAACCATCTTAGCATGACAAACAAGAATATATATGGTTTAGGGGTGGGGATCTTGACCACTTACAAAGATATTAGAACTTTCTTGAATGGCATGGGGTGGGGGTGACCCCTGGAGACTAACCCTGTATTTCATTTCATGTGCTTTATCATGACAAACCAGAATATGTATGGTTTAGGGGTGGGGATCTCGACCATTTACAAGATATAAGAACTTTTTCAAATGGCAGGGGGTCGGGATGACCCCTGGGGACTAACCCTGTATATCATTCAAACCATCTTAGCATGACAAACCAGAATATATATGGTTTAGGGGTGGGGATCTTGACCACTTACAAGGTATTAGAACATTCTTAAATGGCAGGGGTGGGGGTGACCCCTGGGGACTAACCCTGTATTTCATTTAATGGGTTTTATCATTTAGAACATTTTCAATTAAAAAGATTGTGTCTATCACAAACGGTTTTCAATTTATAATCATTTGAAAATTTTAAAAAATAAAATCCCATAGGGTTCTATAGTAAAACCCTCTTTTGTTTTTGCCCCTCAAAGTACCCCTTTATAAACCGCATTGCACAAACAAAACCCTGATTGCACCACTAGACATGTTAGTCTAACATATTGTGAAATCCTAAGTTAATCTGACAAGCGGTTTTGGAGAACAGGTGCGGACAAGTTCAAATTTAAAAGCGGCGGAAGAGGAAGAGGAAGAAGAATAATAATAATAATAAGAACTGAGCAAAAACAATAAGTCTTCCCAAACTTCGTTTGGGAGACTTAAATATCAAATCAATATTTTCAAGAACGAAGAAAAAAAGTGTGGAAAGCTGAGTTGCCGGACTGACGGATGGACAGACTGACAGACGGACGGACGGACAGACAGACAGACAGAGTGCAAACCTAAAGTCCCCTTTGACTTCGTCATTAGGGGACTAATAAAGTTTTTCAGGTGAACATGATGTACAAATGGATAACATGTGGACATTTTCATTCTGTATTAAATATCTAGTATTTGTTTTATTATCTTTAATCCTCTAATTAGCAGTAAACAATCATTAACAGAGGTTATAAAACTGCCAAAGGCTAGGTATTTAACATTATGCCATTGTCAGTTAATTGGAGTGTTACACAATCAGGTAACAATTTTACCGGAAATGCCGATAGGCATGTAAATTATTTGAAAAGGCAGAGGGGTGCATTTTTTTCCTATGGAGGGCAGATGGGCGAGGGTAAGGGCACCAAGGGCAGGCGGGAACACTGGTTAATCCCTACACCATGTTAAATACTTGGTTCACATCATATCAAGTGAATTTTTGTTCTATATATGAATTTAGAATGTAGACATTTTTTGTTAATAAAGATATTGAATAATAAAAAACAATCAGTTTTAAGAAAACTGTTTTTATTCACTAAATATATTAATATAAAGGTTAGTCCCTCCATGTAAATGTAAAGCACCAGACTGATTCTTCATATTTAGTTTAACCGTTGATTATACAGGTATGTCATCATAAAATTGTACTTCATTTTACATTATCGTACTGCATCTGTTTACCCTCAACTATTGTATTTGTATTTATATTGTAATTCTACTTTCTCTGTTGACTTGTATTTAGTTTTTAGAGAATAAAGTATCTATCTATCTAATAAGAATAAAACTAAATGTTACCTTTTTTGTTTTCACCCAAGGACTGCATCCTTGATCTATTAACCATTTTGTTGTATCAATCCGTCCATACTGAGCAGCATAATGTAAAGCTGTTTCTCCATCCTATAACAATATAAAAATATAAACATGTTAATGTTGTTTGATAATAAATCAAGAGAGGAGTCAAACAATTTATCTACATGTAAGAAATATAACATCGGGTAAGATAATAAATAATTATACTTGTGTATAAACTATTAAATGGTAGATTAAGATATATAAATTAAATATATATTTTCTGATTCAGTAAAACAAAACAGGTTAAAATAGTAAACTCTTAATCATATAAGTGTAACAAGATAAATAATAGCAACCCCCACTTTATATAATTCTGTCAAGTATTAGTTGTCCATCGAACCTGTCTGATTAACGTTGATTAAGTAGAATAATCAAATAGAAAAAAAAAACTTTTTTTCAAGTAACATTAAAATGAGTTATATTTTCTGATTCAGTACGACAAGACATAAAAAATAAGACCCCACTTTATATAATTCTGTCAAGTATTTGTTGTCCATCGAACCTGTCTGATTAACGTTGATTAAGTAGAATAATCAAATAGAAAAAAAAACTTTTTTTCAAGTAACATTAAAATGAGTTATATTTTCTGATTCAGTACGACAAGACATAAAAAATAAGACCCCACTTTATATAATTCTGTCAAGTATTTGTTATTTTTTAAAAGATGTTTTACGTTAGATCTGTAGAATTAACATTAACTGACTAAAGATGTTAACACAACTTTTTCTCATCAACTTCTCATTAAAATCAAATGTTAACAAAATCATTTTTTGTCAGGAAACAAAATAAAACCTTTACTATCTGATTCAGTTCTGTGTTACGAATAAAATGAGACCCCACTTTATATAATTCTAACAAATATTTGTTGTCCATTAAACCTGTCTGATTAACAACATGATTTTGTGTAGATTCTGTATAAAGTGAAGTTTTGTCAGAGTAAGGTCATTATATCTATCATTACCTCGTCTGTGACTTCTAACTGACTGCCGTGAGTGGCCAGGTACGTCACCACCTCCAGGTGTCCTCCCAAGGCAGCCAACATTAATGGTGTCCTTTCCCACTGTAATATCAACATATAACAGACATCAAAACTTGTGTCATAAACTGGACAATGTTGTGTAATAAATATAAACAAAATATATATCACATGAATCAGTGGTCAAAACTGAATAAAATGACCAGTCACACTTGTATTTATATTCTACATAAACAACAAATAAACAACATGTTTTATTGTGAGATGTCAGAACTTCCATCAAAACAGATTAAAAAAAAAAACTTTTTTCAAGAAACATTAAAACGAGTTATATTTTCTGATTCAGTACGAAGAGACAAGAAAAATAAGACCCCACTTTATATAATTCTGTCAAATATTTGTTATTTTTAAAAGATGTTTTACATTAGATCTGTAGAATTAACATTATCTGACTAAAGATGTTAACACAACTTTTTCTCATCAACTTCTCATTAAAAACAGATGTTTACAAAATAATTTTTCGACAAGAAACAAAATAAAACCTTTACTATCTGATTCAGTTCTGTGTTACGAATAAAATGAGACCCCACTTTATATAATTCTAACAAATATTTGTTGTCCATTAAACCTGTCTGATTAACAACATGATTTTGTGTAGATTCTGTATAAAATGAAGTTTTGTCAGAGTAAGTAGATTATATCTATCATTACCATGGGGTCTCTGACTTCTAACTGACTGCCGTGAGTGAACAGGTACGTCACCACCTCCAGGTGTCCTTCCCAGGCAGCCAACATTAATGGTGTACTTCCATCCTGTAATATCAACATATAACAGACATCAAAACTTGTGTCATAAACTGGACAATGTTGTGTAATAAATATAAACAAAATATATATCACATGAATCAGTGGTCAAAACTGAATAAAATGACCAGTCACACTTGTATTTATATTCTACATAAACAACAAATAAACAACATGTTTTATTGTGAGATGTCAAAACTTCCATCAGAACTGTCAGGTTAAAAAAAAAACTTTTTTCTAGAAAATTAAATAATATTTATATCAATGGACTCAGCTGGACAAGACAATTAAAATGAGACCCCACTTTATATAATTCTAACAAGTATTTGTTGTCCATTAAACTGTCCGATTAATGATATGATTTTATGTTGATTCTGAAGAATGATCAAAGTTAAAAAAAAAAAAAATTTCAAGAAATATAAAACGAGTTATATTTTCTGATTCAGTACGAAGAGACAAGAAAAATAAGACCCCACTTTATATAATTCTGTTAAATATTTGTTATTTTTAAAAGATGTTTTACATTAGATCTGTAGAATTAACATTATCTGACTAAAGATGTTAACACAACTTTTTCTCTTTAACTTCTCATTAAAATCAGATGTTTACAAAATAATTTTTCGTCAAGAAACAAAATAAAACCTTTACTATCTGATTCAGTTCTGTGTTACGAATAAAATGAGACCCCACTTTATATAATTCTAACAAATATTTGTTGTCCATTAAACCTGTCAGATTAACAACATGATTTTGTGTAGATTCTGTATAAAGTGAATTTTTGTCAGAGTAAGTAGATTATATCTATCATTACCCAGTCTGTGACTTCTAACTGACTGCCGTGAGTGACCAGGTACGTCACCACCTCCAGGTGTCCTCTCTCAGCAGCCAACATTAATGGTGTCATTCCTCTCTGTAATATCAACATATAACAGACATCAAAACTTATGTCATAAACTGGACAATGTTGTGTAATAAATATAAACAAAATATATATCACATGAATCAGTGGTCAAAACTGAATAAAATGACCAGTCACACTTGTATTTATATTCTACATAAACAACAAATAAACAACATGTTTTATTGTCAGATGTCAGAACTTCCATCAGAACTGTCAGGTTAAAACATTTTTTTTTACAAGAAACGTAAACAATATTTATATCAATGGACTCAGCTGGACAAGACAATTAAAATGAGACCCCACTTTATATAATTCTAACAAATATTTGTTGTCCATTAAATCTGTCTGATTAACAATAATTAAGTAGAATGATCAAAGTTAAAAAAAAACTTTTTTCAAGAAACATAAAAATGAGTTATATTTTCTGATTCAGTACGAAGAGACAAGAAAAATAGGACCCCACTTTATATAATTCTGTCAAGTATTTGTTATTTTTAAAAGATGTTTTACATTAGATCTGTAGAATTAACATTATTTGACTAAAGATGTTAACACAACTTTTTCTCATCAACTTTTCAATAAAAATCAGATGTGAACAAAATAATTTTTCGTCAAGAAACAAAATAAAACGTTTACTATTTGATTCAGTTCTGTGTTACGAATAAAATGAGACCCCACTTTATATAATTCTAACAAATATTTTTTTGTTTATTAAATCTGTCTGATTAACAATGATGAATGATCAAAGTTAAAAAAAAATAATTTCAAGAAAAATAAAAAAGAGTTATATTTTCTAAGTCGGATTAATGAGACAGGAAAAATGAGACCCCACTTTATATAATTCTAACAAATATTTTTTGTTCATTAAACCTGTCTGATTAGCAGTATTTTGTGTTGATTCAGAATAATATTATGGTAATATAGCAATGGCATATGTTGTGTTGAGTATAAGTGAAGAACTTTAATAAGCCATGTCTGTATTTTTTTGTTTGCATTGTGCTATGTCACATGTTTTTGAGCAGTGTAAGAGTGTCATTGATATGTCACATGTTGGTGTTGAGTATAAGAGTGGTACGGCTAGGTTACACGATGGTGTTGAGTATAAGAGTGTCATTGCTATGTCACATGTTGGTGCTGAGTATCAGAGTGTCAATGATATGTCACATGTTGATGCTGAGTATCAAGAGTGTCATTGCTATGTCACATGTTGATGTTGAGTATACGAGTGGTATGGCTAGGTAACATGTTGGTGCTGAGTATAAGAGTGTCATTGCTATGTCACATGTTGATGCTGAGTATCAGAGTATCAATGCCATGTCACATGTTGATGCTGAGTATCAGAGTGGCATTGCTATGTCACATGTTGGTGTTGAGTATAAGAGTGGTATGGCTAGGTTACATGATGGTGTTGAGTATAAGTGTGTCATTGCTATGTCACATGTTGGTGCTGAGTATAAGAGTGTCATTGCTATGTCACATGTTGGTGCTGGGTATAAGAGTGTCATTGCTGTTGGTGTTGAGTATAAGTGTGTCATTGCTATGTCACATGTTGGTGCTGAGTATAAGAGTATCATTGCTATGTCACATGTTGGTGCTGAGCATAAGAGTGTCATTGCTATGTCACATGTTGGTGTTGAGTATATGAGTGTCATTGCTATGTCATGTGATGATGTTGAGTATAAGAATGTCATTGCTATGTCACATGTGTGTGCTGAGTATTAGAGTGTCATTTCTGTTTTTGTTGAGTATAAGTGTGTCATTGCTATGTCAAATGTTGGTGCTGAGTATAAGTGTATCATTGCTATGTCACATGTTGGTGCTGAGCATAAGAGTGTCATTGCTATGTCACATGTTGGTGTTGAGTATACGAGTGTCATTGCTATGCCACGTGTTGGTGTTGAGTATAAGTATGTCATTGCTATGTCACATGTTGGTGATGAGTATAAGAGTGTCATTGCTATGTCACGTGATGGTGTTGAGTATAAGAGTGTCATTGCTATGTCACATGTGTGTGCTGAGTATAAGAGTGTCATTTATGTTGGTGTTGAGTATAAGTGTGTCATCGCTATGTCAAATGTTGGTGTTCAGTATAAGTATGGCCTTGCTGTCACATGTGTCTGTTAAATATAAGAGTGTTATTGCTATGTCACATGTTGGTGCTGAGTATAAGTGTGTCATTGCTATGTCACATGTTGGTGTTGAGTATAATAGTGTCATTGCTATGTCACATGTTGGTACTGAGTATAAGAGTGTCAGTGATATGTCACAATTTGGTGTTGAGTATAAGAGTGCCATTGCTATGTCACATGTTGGTGTTGAGTATAAGAGTGTCACTGCTATGTCACATGTTGGTACTGAGTATAAGAGTGTCATTGTTATGTCACATGTTGGTACTGAGTATAAAAGTGTCATTGCTGTCACATGTTGGTGTTGAGTATAAGAGTGTCACTGCTATGTCACATGTTGGTACTGAGTATAAGAGTGTCATTGCTATGTCACATGTTGGTACTGAGTATAAGAGTGCCATTGCTATGTCACATATTGCTGTTGAGTATAAGAGTGTCAGTGATATGTCACAATTTGGTGTTGAGTATAAGAGTGTTTTGGTAATGTCACATGTTGGTGTAAGTATGTCATTGCTATGTCACATGTTACCCATGTCATGTTTAGTACAGGAGTGGTAAATGAATGCTGTATGATCAGATGTCATAATTCATGTTCAGTACAGGAGTGGTTAATGAATGTTGTATGATCAGGTGTCACATTTCATGTTCAGTACAGGAGTGGTAAATGAATGTTGTATGATCCAGAGTCACATGTCATGTTCAGTACAGGAGTGGTGACTGAATATTGCATGATCAGGTGTCACATATCATGTTCAGTTCAGGGGTGGTTAATGAATGTTGTATGATGTGGTGTCACATGTCATGTTCAGAAGAGGAGTGGTGGATGAATGTTGTATGATCAGGTGTCACATGTCATGTTCAGTACAGGAGTGGTGACTGAATATTGCATGATCAGGTGTCACATGTCATGTTCAGTACAGGAGTGGTGAATGAATGTTGTATGATGTGGTGTCACATGTCATGTTCAGTACAGGAGTGGTGAATGAATGTTGTATGATCAGGTGTCACTTGTCATGTTCAGTACAGGAGTGGTGAATGAATGTTGTATGATCAGGTGTCACTTGTCATGTTCAGTACAGTGAGGTAAATAAATGTTGAATGATCAGGTGTCACATGTCATGTTTAATACAGAAGTGGTAAATGATTGTTGTATGATTATGTGTCATGTCTTGTGTCATGATGATGCAAGATTTATGTAAAACCGAAGGAATTTTTTTGTAGAATACCATGAAAGTGTATGTTAAGTGTCATACAGTATAATAAAATAAATCACAATATTTCAGTTGTATGCAGTTAAGAAGTTAGGAAGTATCAGACGGCTACCCTTTGACATACACACTGGAGTGGTATTCGTCAGTGTAATGAAGTAAATCACAATATTTCAGTTGTATACAGTAAGTAAGTATCAGACAGCAACCCTTTAACATACAAACTGGAGTGGTATTCATCAGTATAACAACATGAATAAATTAAATCACAATATTTCAGTTATATACAGTTATATACAGTTAGGAAGTATCAGACAGCAACCCTCTGACATACAAACTGGAGTGGTATTCATCAGTGTAATGAAGTAAATCACAATATTTCAATTGTATGCAGTTAGGAAGTACCAGACAGCAACTCTCTAACATAAAAACTGGAGTGGTATTCATCAGTGTAATGAAGTATTTAAGGTTGTTTTTGGGGGGATCAAAACTGTGTAGTGTTTTAGGGGCTGTTGTTTGTCTTCTCCCTTGGCCATGGTGTTGCCTATTCTTCTACTACTTATGTGTTTTGATTGTCTATTCTTCTACTACTTGTGTGTTTTGATTGCCTATTCTTCTACTACTTATGTGTTTTGATTGTCTATTCTTCTACTACTTATGTGTTTTGATTGTCTATTCTTCTACTACTTATGTGTTTTGTCTATTCTTCTACTACTGATGTGTTTTGATTGTCTATTCTTCTACTACTTATGTGTTTTGATTGTCTATTCTTCTCCTACTTATGTGTTTTGTCTATTCTTCTACTACTTGTGTGTTTTGATTGTCTATTCTTCTACTACTGATGTGTTTTGTCTATTCTTCTACTACTTATGTGTTTTGATTGTCTATTCTTCTACTACTGATGTGTTTTGTCTATTCTTCTATTACTGATGTGTTTTGATTGTCTATTCTTCTACTACTGATGTGTTTTGTCTATTCTTCTACTACTTGTGTGTTTTGATTGTCTATTCTTCTATTACTGATGTGTTTTGATTGTCTATTCTTCTACTACTGATGTGTGTTTTGATTGTCTATTCTTCTACTACTTATGTGTTTTGATTGTCTAGTCTTCTACTACTGATGTGTGTTTTGATTGTCTATTCTTCTACTACTGATGTGTGTTTTGATTGTCTATTCTTCTACTACTGATGTGTGTTTTGATTGTCTATTCTTCTACTACTGATGTGTGTTTTGATTGTCTATTCTTCTACTACTGATGTGTGTTTTGATTGTCTAGTCTTCTACTACTGATGTGTGTTTTGATTGTCTAGTCTTCTACTACTGATGTGTGTTTTGATTGTCTATTCTTCTACTACTTATGTGTTTTGATTGTCTAGTCTTCTACTACTGATGTGTTTTGTCTATTCTTCTACTACTGATGTGTTTTGATTGTCTATTCTTCTACTACTTGTGTGTTTTGATTGTCTATTCTTCTACTACTGATGTGTTTTGTCTATTCTTCTACTACTGATGTGTTTTGATTGTCTATTCTTCTACTACTTGTGTGTTTTGATTGTCTATTCTTCTACTACTGATGTGTTTTGATTGTCTATTCTTCTACTACTGATGTGTTTTGTCTATTCTTCTATTACTGATGTGTTTTGATTGTCTATTCTTCTACTACTGATGTGTGTTTTGATTGTCTATTCTTCTACTACTTATGTGTTTTGTCTATTCTTCTACTACTTATGTGTTTTGTCTATTCTTCTACTACTTGTGTGTTTTGTCTATTCTTCTACTACTTGTGTGTTTTGATTGTCTATTCTTCTACTACTTATGTGTTTTGTCTATTCTTCTACTACTTGTGTGTTTTGTCTATTCTTCTACTACTTGTGTGTTTTGTCTATTCTTCTACTACTTGTGTGTTTTGTCTATTCTTCTACTACTTGTGTGTTTTGATTGTCTATTCTTCTACTACTTATGTGTTTTGATTGTCTATTCTCCTACTACTTATGTGTTTTGATTGTCTATTCTCCTACTACTTGTGTGTTTTGATTGTCTATTCTTCTACTACTTGTGTGTTTTGATTGTCTATTCTTCTACTACTGATGTGTTTTGATTGTCTATTCTTCTACTACTTGTGTGTTTTGATTGTCTATTCTCCTACTACTGATGTGTTTTGATTGTCTATTCTTCTATTACTTGTGTGTTTTGATTGTCTATTCTTCTACTACTTGTGTGTTTTGATTGTCTATTCTTCTACTACTTGTGTGTTTTGATTGTCTATTCTCCTACTACTGATGTGTTTTGATTGTCTATTCTTCTACTACTTGTGTGTTTTGATTGTCTATTCTTCTACTACTTGTGTGTTTTGATTGTCTATTCTTCTACTACTGATGTGTTTTGATTGTCTATTCTTCTACTACTGATGTGTTTTGATTGTCTATTCTTCTACTACTTGTGTGTTTTGATTGTCTATTCTTCTACTACTGATGTGTTTTGATTGTCTATTCTTCTACTACTTGTGTGTTTTGATTGTCTATTCTTCTACTACTGATGTGTTTTGATAGTCTATTCTTCTACTACTGATGTGTTTTGATTGTCTATTCTTCTACTACTTGTGTGTTTTGATTGTCTATTCTTCTACTCCTGATGTGTTTTGATTGTCTATTCTTCTACTACTTGTGTGTTTTGATTGTCTATTCTTCTACTACTGATGTGTTTTGATTGTCTATTCTTCTACTACTTATGTGTTTTGATTGTCTATTCTTCTGTGTGTGTTGAATACAAGAGCTGTATATATTTATGTTGTGTAATGATGTTTCTCACTGTGTGTGTTGAATACAAGAGCTGTATATATAGATGTTGTGTAATGATGTTTCTCACTGTGTGTGTTGAATAAAAGAGCTGTATATATTGATGTTGTGTAATGATGTTTCTCACTGTGTGTGTTGAATACAAGAACTGTATATATTGATGTTGTGTAATGATGTTTCTTACTGTGTGTGTTGAATACAAGAGCTGTATATATTGATGTTGTGTAATGATGTTTCTCACTGTGTGTGTTGAATACAAAAGCTGTATATATTGATGTTGTGTAATGATGTTTCTCACTGTGTGTGTTGAATACAAGAGCTGTATATATTGATGTTGTGTAATGATGTTTCTCACTCTGTGTGTTGAATACAAGAGCTGTATATATTGATGTTGTGTAATGATGTTTCTTACTGTGTGTGTTGAATACAAGAGCTGTATATATTTATGTTGTGTAATGATGTTTCTCACTGTGTGTGTTGAATACAAGAGCTGTATATATTGATGTTGTGTAATGATGTTTCTCACTGTGTGTGTTGAATACAAGAGCTGTATATATTGATGTTGTGTAATGATGTTTCTCACTCTGTGTGTTGAATACAAGAGCTGTATATATTGATGTTGTGTAATGATGTTTCTTACTGTGTGTGTTGAATACAAGAGCTGTATATATTGATGTTGTGTAATGATGTTTCTCACTCTGTGTGTTGAATACAAGAGCTGTATATATTGATGTTGTGCAATGATGTTTCTCACTGTGTGTGTTGAAAACGAGTTAAAATTGAGAATGGAAATGGGGAATGTGTCAAAGAGACAACAACCCGACCATAGAGCAGACAACAGCCGAAGGCCACCAATGGGTCTTCAATGCAGCGAGAAACTCCCGCACCCGGAGGCGTCCTTCAGCTGGCCCCTTAACAAATATGTATACTAGTTCAGTGATAATGGACGTCATACTAAACTCCAAATTATACACAAGAAACTAAAATTAAAAATGATACAAGACTAACAAAGGCCAGAGGCTCCTGACTTGGGACAGGCGCAAAAATGCGGCGGGGTTAAACATGTTTTTTGAGATCTCAACCCTCCCCCTATACCTCTAGCCAATGTAGAATTTTATATTGTATATATTGATGTTGTGTAATGATGTTTCTCACTGTGTGTGTTGAATACAAGAGCTGTATATATTGATGTTGTGTAATGATGTTTCTCACTGTGTGTGTTGAATACAAGAGCTGTATATATTGATGTTGTGTAATGATGTTTCTCACTGTGTGTGTTGAATACAAGAGCTGCATATATTGATGTTGTGTAATGATGTTTCTCACTGTGTGTGTTGAATACAAGAGCTGTATATATTGATGTTGTGTAATGATGTTTCTCACTGTGTGTGTTGAATACAAGAGCTGTATATATTGATGTTGTGTAATGATGTTTCTTACTGTGTGTGTTGAATACAAGAGCTGTATATATTGATGTTGTGTAATGATGTTTTTCACTGTGTGTGTTGAATACAAGAGTTGTATATATTGATGTTGTGTAATGATGTTTCACACTGTTTTTTGTGGAATAGAAGAGTTCTACCGGTATATACATTGGGATAGTGTAATGATTTTTCTTAATATTTAATAATGATTAATATAAGACAAGAGTATTTGCAATAACCAGAAATTTACATTGAATCACTGAACACTAATTACAAGGGTAATGTTTAACAGATCTATATTGTGTGTACTATATAATAAATAACTTTATGTGTGCTAAACATTTTACTTCACTTACCAAATCATCACGTTTACATTCCAAGTTAGCTTTGTTCTTTACACATAGTTCTACCTCTTTTATATTCCCCACCTCTGCAGCTGTAAGAAGTTTCTGTAAGCAAAACAAAGTTTTCACATTTTCCTCTGAACATAAAATGTATTATAAATGTAATAATTGAATTTAACAAGCTACATTTTTACAGTTAACAGTTTATACCAAACACAGTGATTACCAAGACGGAGTGAAATTGTTGTCTATAATTTCAGATTTTTTTTCTTCAGAAAAGTCTTTAGACAATTATGCATCAGTTTTGAGATCAGCCTTGGTTTTTTTGGGGGGGGGGTTCGTGTTGCTCTGGCTCTAGTTTTCTATGTAACGTTTTGAATACTTGTATTTTCATTGTTTTTCATTTTTTGTCATGAAGTCGTCAGTTTCTCTTTGACTTAAAATGAGTTGTGAATATCCTATGATATCTTACACTTCTTTTTTTTTTTGTCTCCTGGAATTTTGTATATTGAAATTCTTTTTTACTGTAGTCATTTTGATTTCTCCTATTCTCCCTCTGACTGACTCTGAGAATACTGCACACCTGTATCTTTATGTACAATTTGTAGACAACATAGGTCACATGACATAAGTCACATGACACTGACTGACTCTGAGAATACTGCACACCTGTATCTTTATGTACAATTTGTAGACAACATAGGTCACATGACCATTGACTTTAAAGAAGAAAATCTTACCTCATCCCAACTTGCCATTATATCCTGCAAAAGGAAAAGAAAACATTTTAACATGTTTGTATACAGGAGTTGTAATTTGATGTGGAATATTTTTAAGGGGCATTAACTACAAGAAACAAAAAAAACATAAAATAAGATTTTTTTTTTGATAAATCATCAGCGTAATCATTAAAATTAATGAAAATTTGATCGATTCTATTTTGTTAAAGTTTGTTAAAGGGGGTTCTACATTTGACCTCATTACAGTAAATAACACATTCAAAATAATATGCAATTTTTCAGCTGTGCATGTGGAGCAAATAATGGTTCAGTTAATATTTTCTTTTGTTACTGCAATTACCATCATCATGATTATATTGTGCTTTGTTATGTATCTAAAGAATAGAGCAAGCAATCGAGACTGGAAATTTTGTGAAATAAAGATGAAAGTACAAATATTAACATTGTACAATGACGATTGAAATTGACTATTGGAAGCCAACAGTAATTTTCTTTGTTATCACTTGCAGTACATTTATTATTCCAATTCGCATTTATTGGGCAGCAAAAGTATTCATTAAAAATTTAAGTCAGCTAATTGTCTAATCCATTGAACAGTATACGCTTTTAAATAAGCATTAGTAATTAATAGCAAAATGGCTGTTACACACTTGCGCTCTTCATGCGGCAAGGCACAATAGTTTATTAGCTTTACTTATATCAATACATTGTATAGCGTATAAATTGTGCAAGGTGACGTCAATGTACACATCAATAATGTCGCCACTAAAGGTTAAATTCCACAGGATATAGCTTGAAAACAATCACGGTTGCTAAGGACTTCCTTTACATCAATCCATTTGTTGTTCAATTTTGAATCATATATATACATATACCAATGTTAGAAAAAAATTCTGTGGATTAATGAAATAGAATAACTTGATCATGTAAAAATTCTTGCCAAATTTCACAACTCGAGTTTCTCTTATATATAATCTATTTATTTTTGGCATATTATATCCTACAGTAGTCTATAATCGGTCATCATGTTGGTTCGTTCGGAATTTGTTATTGTACTTATCACACGGGAAAACTCCACATTGACGTCACTACGCTAATACCAGCGTACAAAATTAGTGCAGAATACATTTTTTCTACTCTTCTAAACAAAACAAAAATTCTAAAGATATGTTTTCATTGTTATTCTAAAGTATTGTACACAAATGCCAATTTTCTAATGGCCGTTTCAAACCTGACTTCCGAATGCCTAAACACATTCCAGAACTTCGGAAAATCCCTCTTCCGGCCTCTGTTGCTTTGTTTACATTCCATTAAGCGTCATCAATCTTAATGCATACCAAACAGGCCAAGCAAATCGTATTTTTAAGAATTTCAAAATGGCAAGCACCTTACGTCTTACGCGATTTTCCCTCGAAAAAAACCCATCCAAATTGAAAGAAAAACTTTGGGAAACAAACGATAATCATGCCATATTTTTGTTCAGGAATATAGAGTAGGTTAATAAAAAACAATATACATATATTTTTCATATTGGTTCAATATAAAGAGATCGATATTCTGACCATAAGTAAATATTCATATAAAATTCCATTGATGTCAAATTTCATGGCTAATAATGAGGTTTCCTATTGAATAAACCCCCAATTTATTGCAAACTATTTCAAAGCAATATATATATCAAACAAACAAATAATATAATTGCCTTGTACTAAAAAAATCACCTAATTGACAGTAGAGCAATTTGATTGGATATAACGATTCAATGTGTCACGTGGTTTTGAAGCCATTATAATTTGAATGTAACCAACCGGGTCAGCTGCTCCAGTATGGAACAACATCGTACATTCAGTGAATGAAAAACAATTATGAGTAACCAAGTTTGACAATACACAGTAGTAAAAAAACAAAGCTAAGTCTACAGAAAACTAAAACAAAAAATGTCCTTAAGTGCACGACTTACCACCATTGCGGGATATTATTTTCAACATCTCATGTTTCAAAAAAGAAAACGGTTAACCCCTTTTTTATTTTATTTTCTGGTTTATTTTTACAAGCAGACTGCAGAGTCCAAATTTGTAATAATTAAAACAAATTCTGAGGAGTAGTTTATTGAGTACACTTTGCCTTAATGTTGTTTTGAAAGAAACTTGTTTAAGTAAAGTCCATGTCTGATTATCAATATGATTAAAAATGTTAAATACCCAAAGTGAAATCTGTTGGTCCAAGTTCTGCAACTGTCAATTAGGGATTACACGTGAGTCTTCGTCAAACTCTTATTGGAACCTCAGCATGTTATTGTACAGTATGTCTTCATGGCCTTAATGCCACTTTATATAACACACCCCTTCTGCCAACAGTCAATTAGAATGATAAGAATCTGCAAATAAAGATTTATATAAAATATTAAACATATAAATTGTCATTGATATGGTCATAATTATAAATTAACTGTTTATAAAACTTTGAATTTTTGAAATACTAAGGGCAGTAGTAAGGCTTTTCAGGGGTTCAAATTAGCGGTGGTCCGAGGTCCGTGACCTTCCATTTACAGGTTCGGACCTTCCCACCGGTAGTTAGTTACACCCGACAGACTTTCATATTTTTGCATGTTAAAAAAGTTACAAAAGAATTCAAAACAAATAAACTGCTTCGCTGAGCGCAGCTGAATACGCACGCAGAGGTCCAACCCTGAACAGTTGGGGCAAAAATGGACACAATATTCAAGCTTGATCATGTTGATACAGGTCTGAATTTGGATTGTTATTAAATATTTGATATATTATAGGTTTCTGAATAAATGTAGTCAAGAACTTGAAATTGGTTATATGAAAGATTTCTTGCTGTTGTGCAATACACTGTGCTGTTGTGCAATACTTAGTAAATCAGTTGTCAGACTATAAACAAATAAAATCTTATAACTCAGAAATGTAAAATTGAAAACTTTTAAAAATCAAAAGGGAGCTTACAATAAAATGCTTCGCTGGGGCGCAGCTTGATATGACCGCAGAGGTCGAACCCTGAACAGTTGGGGCAAGTATGGACACAACATTCAAGCTTGATACAGCTCTGAATTTGGATTGTTATTAAATATTTGACACAGCATAGGTTTCTGACACAGAAAGAATGTGGTCTAAGAACTTGAATTTTTTTAATTTACCTATTATGGTCCAATGTCCAAAATCAAAATACATGGTTAGATTCAGCATATCAAAGAACCCCATATATTCAATTTTTGTTAAAATCAAACAAAGTTTAATTTTGGACCCCAACTTGGACAAACTTGAAAACTGGGCCCATAATCAAAAATCTAAACATATGTTTAGATTCAGCATATCAAAGAACCCCAAGAAATCAATTTTTGCTAAAATCAAACTAAGTTTAATTTTGGACCCTTTGGACCTTAATGTAGACCAATTTAAAAAACAGGACTTAAAATTAAAAATCTAAATACACGGTTAGATTTGGAATATCAAAGAACCCCAAGAATTCAATTTTTGATGAAATCAAACAAAGTTTAATTTTGGACCCTTTTGACCTCAATATGAACCAATTTGATAGCGGGGCCCACAAATAAAAAATCTAAATTCATGGTTAGATTCAGCATATCAAAGAACCCCATATATTCAATTTTTGTTGAAATCAAAAAAAGTTTAATTTTGGACCCCAACTTGGACCAACTTGAAAACTGGGCCCATAATCAAAAATCTAAACACATGTTTAGATTCAGCATATCAAAGAACCCCAAGAATTCAATTTTTGTTAAAATCAAACTAAGTTTAATTTTGGACCCTTTGGACCTCAATGAAGACCAATTTAAAAAACGGGACCCAAATTAAACATCTAATAACACGGTTAGATTTGGCATATCAAAGAACCCCAATAATTCAATTTTTGATGAAATCAAACAAAGTTTAATTTAGGACCGTTTTGACCTCAATATGAACCAATCTGATAGTGGGGCCTACAAATAAAAAATCTAAATACATGGTTAGATTCAGCATATCAAAGAACCTCATATATTCAATTTTTGTTGAAATCAAACAAAGTTTAATTTTGGACCCCAATTTGGACCAACTTGAAAACTGGGCCCATAATCAAAAATCTAAATACATGTTTAGATTCAGCATATCAAAGAACCCCATATATTCAATTTTTGTTGAAATCAAACAAAGTTTAAATACTGGACCCTATCTTGGACCAACTTGAAAACTGGGCCCATAATCAAAAATCTAAACACATGTTTAGATTCAGCATATCAAAGAACCCCAAGAATTCAATTTTTGTTAAAATCAAACTAAGTTTAATTTTGGACCCTTTGGACCTTAATGTAGACCAATTTAAAAAACAGGACCCAAAATTAAAAATCTAAATACACGGTTAGATTTGGAATATCAAAGAGCCCCAATAATTCAATTTTAGATGAAATCAAACAAAGTTTAATTTTGGACCCTTTTGACCTCAATATGAACCAATTTGATAACGGGGTCCACAAATAAAAAATCTAAATACATGGTTAGATTCAGCATACCAAAGAACCCCATATATTCAATTTTTGTTGAAATCAAACAAAGTTTAATTTTGGACCCCAATTTGGACCAACTTGAAAACTGGGCCAAAAATCAAAAATCTAAATACATGTTTAGATTCAGCATATCAAAGAACCTCATATATTCAATTTTTGCTAAAATCAAACAAAGTTTAATTTTGGACCCGTTGGACCTTAATGTAGACTATTTTGAAAACTGGACCCAAAATTAAAAATCTAAATACACTGTTAGATTCGGCATAACAAATAAATAAATGTGATCAAAGATTTTACAAATCTAATGTGCCATACTGTGCAATTAAAGATTACTTCTTGAAATTTTTCAATATTTGAAATTTGAAAAAAAAATAATATTTGAAGAATAATTCTTTTTAATTTCTGAAATGAGAAAAAATTGACCCCCCACAATTTCTTTTTATCCCCCCCCCCCCTTTTTTCCCCCAAAAAATTCTTTCCCTGAAGATATGGTCATAATCTCAATTCAAATTTCCAATGGAGTTGGCAACCATAATTACCCATTTAATTTTACCATAGTGCTAACTTAATCTATTTTATAAAAGAATTAAAAACATAGTGTCATATCTTTCATATAGATTTTTTTGTAAAATAAAATGATGCAACATTTGCAGATATTTTTACTGGTCTTCCTTTATAAATATGCATTTCTTTAAACATAATTTAAAAGCAGTGTAAGGGAAGTAACCAAAACGTTGTATTTGGATTACCTCCCTTACACTGTTTTAAATTATCTTTATTGTTCATTAACCATTACTTTATACATAATTTAAAAGCAGTGTAAGGGAGATAATTTCAATGATGTATTTGATATATCTCCCTTACACTGCTTAAAATTATGTTTTGTACTAAAGTATTTGTCCATTAACCAGGACAACCTTGTTTTTCCCCCTTTTTTGCCCCTAATTCCTAAACGGTTTGAGCCATAACCCCCCAAAGCAAATCCTAACCATCCCTTTGTGGTATGGAAACTTGTAGTATAATTTCAGAGAGATCCATACACTGTTCCACAGTTATTGTCTGGAAACTAGAAAATGCTTATTTTTGGCCCCTTTTTGGCCCCTAATTCCTTAACTGTTGGTACCATAACCCCCAAAATCAATCCCAACCTTCCTTTTGTGGTATTTAACCTTATGGTAAAATTTCAAAAAGATCCATTCACTTAAACTAAAGTTAGAGTGCGAAAACCAATGTGTATTCGGACGACGACGACGCCGGACGACGACGACGCCGGACGACGACGACGACGCCAACGTCATACCAATATACGACCACAAAAATTTTTTTGCGGTCGTATAAAAATAGATATAAACAATTTACCAAAGTTTGATAAAAAATGCTGAAAGCATTTTTGAATTATTATCCGAAAACTGGAAAATCCCCCTTTTTGTAATGAATAAAACCCCATAAATCGGAAACGTATAATCTGAAATTTATAAAAATCAAAAGGGAGCTCATGTCGATAGAAATAAACAATTCACCAAAGTTTCTTGCAAATTGGTGAAATTGTTTTTAAGTTATTGTCTGAAAACTGGAAAATCCCCCCTTTTTCAATGAATAAAACCCCAAAACTCGGAAACGGTACATCCCAAATTAATAATAAAATGCTCCGCAGGGCGCAGCTTGATACGACCGCAGAGGTCGAACCCTGAACAGTTGGGGCAAGTATGGACACAACATTCAAGCTTGATACAGCTCTGAATTTGGATTGTGATTAAATATTTGACACAGCATAGGTTTCTGACACAGAATGAATGTGGTCTAAGAACTTAAAAATTTTAAATTGGACATTCACCTATTATGGTCCAATATCCAAAATCTAAATACATGGTCAGATTCAGCATATCAAAGAACCCCAAGAATTCAAATCTTGATGAAATCAAACAAAGTTTAATTTTGGACCCTTTTGACCTCAATGTGGACAAAGTTGATAACGGGGCCCAAAAATCAAAAATCTAAATACATGGTTAGATTCAGCATATCAAAGAACCACACATATATTCACTTTTGTTGAAATCAAACAAAGTTTAATTTTGAACCCCATAATCAAAAATCTAAATACATGTTTAGATTCAGCATATCAAAGAACCCTAAGAATTAAATTTTTGTTAAAATCAAACTTAGTTTAATTTTGGACCCTTTGGACCTTAATGTAGACCAATTTGAAAACGGAACCAAAAATTAAGAATCTAAATACACGGTTAGATTCGGCATATCAAAGAACCCCAATAATTCAATTTTTGATGAAATCAAACAAAGTTTAATTTTGGACCCTTTGGACCTCAATGTGGACCAATTTAAAAACAGGGCCCGAAATCCAAAAACTTAATACATGGTTAGATTCAGCATATCAAAGAACCCCAAGAATTCAAGAATAAAACCCCATTGAAATTGGTCAAGAAATAAGCAATTTATACAAAGTATCTTCTTTTGCACAATACTGTGCAATTGAATATTTCTTGCTATTGCGCAATACTGCACAATTGACAATTTCTTGCTATTGCGCAATATTGTGCTATTGGATATTTCTTGCTATTGCGCAATACTGTGCAATTGAAGATTTCTTGATATTGCGCAATACTGTGCAATTGAAGATTTCTTGCTATTGTGCAATACTGTGCAATTGAAAATTTCTTGCTATTGCACAATACTTATTATATAATAATTTACACATCCTGTTTGGTGTGTATCTCCTACCATATCATTATTATTTGCTTTTAAATATAAATCAGAAATAACCAACTTAAAATGGAAAATTTTAAAAGAAAAAAAAAAGGAAAAAAAAAAAATCCCCCCCCCCCAAATTTTTTGAACCC